TTTTAATACTATCCAGTTTTTGGGAGGTTGCCTTACCAAACAAGCCTTAAAAGGCACAGTGTCTGTTTTTTCAGACACTAGCTATTTCAAGTTCCCTTCTGGAGGTTGATGGGAGAAATATTTACTAATGAACTTTTGGCCATGGAGTAAATAGAGTTTGTTGACGCCAAAAAATTGCCTAACTTGCACGTGGTCGAGGGTCTCATGTTGGGTGACTTGGCATTAGTTAAGTATATTAAAGGGATTGAATCAATTGAATTAGAAAGTCTCCTCTTAGCTTAGGTTTGATCCATTAGCCTTACAGCCTATCTTGGCCCATTTCATCCTCTATAAATAGGCAAGGTAACTCCATAGTTAAAGTAAGTTTTCATTTCCTCTAGCCGCTCACCTTCCCCTATTTTCCATTGCACTCTATATATATTATTCTGTAGTGACTTCATCGTCGGAGTGCAAATGATTACTGGACCTTTTTCCTCTGACCGGCGACCTTTGCCTTCTAACAGAATGTTCAATGTATAACTTGAATAGGAGGCGGTTGGAGTGTTGTTGGCCACATGATCGATAGATATTGAGGCTAACAAAGTTTAGTACTTTACGTTTAGGATAAGACTATTGATCTTGATGTATTATTTTGTGTCTTAAAGGTTAAACGAATTAAATTAACAAGTCACGTCAAAAGTAAATTTGCCATTTCTTCCCTTGAAAGTTATTTTAACTACAATATCTTAGTTCCCCCAGTCCCAACCCACCTTCTCGAGCCACTCACTGCAAGTCTTCCAACCTTCATTTTGTGTTTGAGGATATCTGAATGTTGGTCTTGATAGGCAGTCCGCGTGATTTGAGGATTATGGATTGAATGGTCCTCCTGTGTGTATTTGCAAGAATATTTTGTTCATTGTTGCAAAATAAATCAATTATTTTCTAGCCCTCTCATTTTTATTGTCCTCTAAATTCCTTTTTTGCTTGTAAGGCATTACTTGTCTGTGTTCAATCTAGTCTAGTTTTTAAAAGTTATAATTAAATCTGTAATCTAATGTCATAATTTATCTTTGTGAACTGTCTTTAGTTCGATCAAATTCATGGACATTTAAAAATTTACTGTCCTATCAGATGTCTAATTTATTTTTGGCTCACACGCTTTAAGCAATTTTTGTTGTTTATTTAGTATTGCATTGTGCTTTTTACCTGTTCCTGAAAGCTGCAAGAACTTTGCAGTTATTTGTTTACGATACCATCAACAAAAATTTGTCGCCGAAACTAGGGGAACGCCCCAAATTGCGTATACCACCTTCATTGATTGCGGGAGCATGTGCTGGAGTTAGCTCGACTTTAGTGACATATCCCCTCGAGTTACTCAAGACTCGATTGACCATTCAGGTAACCGAAGGCTTAACTTTCTGGAATAACAAGTTTGATTATTAAAAATGTGAATTTGAAATTTATGTTTGACAAAATTAAAGTTATTTTTAAGCACAGCCAAACATGCCCTTATCTAACTTTTTGTGTCTATGTACTTCATCCTTATCTGTAGTTCTTGTTCCAATATGCAGAGAGGAGTTTACAATGGTTTGCTCGATGCGTTTATAAAAATACTATGTGAAGGTGGGCCAGGAGAGCTTTATCGAGGTTTGACTCCAAGTCTTATTGGAGTAATTCCGTATGCTGCCACCAATTACTGTGCATATGACACTCTAAGAAAGGCATACCGGAAGATTTTTAAACAAGAGAAGATTGGCAACATCGAAACACTTTTGATTGGTTCTGCAGCTGGTGCTATATCTAGTAGCGCTACATTCCCTCTTGAGGTGGCTCGTAAGCACATGCAGGTTGGAGCTCTAAGTGGGCGACAAGTGTACAAGAACGTGCTTCATGCTCTTGCCTGCATACTTGAACAAGAAGGGATTCATGGTTTATACAAAGGGCTCGGTCCAAGCTGTATGAAGTTGGTGCCTGCTGCTGGGATATCTTTCATGTGTTACGAGGCATGCAAGAGGATTTTGGTTGAGAATGAAGATAATGCATAGAGAGTTGTTCTACAACTTAGATTCAAGGATAACATACAGATTCATTGACTTCAGGTCGTCTGATGTTGCATCATTTTCCTCACTTGAAAGTTTTGCTTGGAATTTTCTTTTGAGACTTGGATTTAGAGGTGAGAACAGGGGTGTTATTAGAACCTTTAAAGCGATTTTGGTTTTTATTTTAACGTGTTGAAGAATGACCAAATTTTGGGTGAAAAAATGATACAAAACGAGTTAAAAGGTTCCTTTCTAGGCTTTTAATCTTTTACAATTATCACGATCCTTTCTATGCTTAACCTAGTTAAGTTTAAGATTCTGTGTATATACGCAAATAATAATGTTGTTTATCATCAAAATGATAAAATCATTGGTGATGTGACAATTTGTGGAATAATGAAATTAAACAGTTCAATTTATATGAGAGAGTTGGGAAGGAGGGAGAGAAAAATGTGAAGGATAATGGACTGTCACATTATCGATGACCTCACGTGCAGATAAACATTTAAGGTTTTCATTTAGCACTGGAATGAACTTGTCTGTATTGTGAACTTTCAGTACCGCAGGAATATTGTATAGGAATTATAATATATTTTGGTGCCAGTCGAGACATACATTTGAAATGCAAACATTGTATCGAGGAATCAAATATCTAAGATTCCACTGCATTCAATGTAACTTCTTGTGCAATGGGCACAAAATTAATGATCAGAGGGCATCCCCATATTCTTTCCGTTTCTCCTTTTTCTTTTCCTTCATTTTTTGTTTCTGCTTTTTCCTCATCTTTGGGAGAGTATAATTCCACCTTTCTCGAGGAACCATGACAGTATATATTGCAAAAATGCCTTTTTGGAGTTTTTGCATCATAGATGCAAGACTCCAATGCCAGAGTTTTATGCGCGAAATTAAACCCTAGATCTTGATTTTAATTTAAGGTGTAATTCCAAAATAACATATCAAACCAAGATGCAGTAAACATATGAACTTCCTCGAACTGGAAGAATTTGGACATGGAAGTTTTGTTCTTTACTGAACCAAGTTAAACCCTACTGCACGGATATAACAACCCCACCCACCCATCCACCTACCCACCCACAAAGAGAAAAAGTAAAACGACATGGTAAGTTAATTGCCTTACTACTAGACACATGTACTCTATTCAGACAGAAAAGGGTGACGAGCCTTGGACCAAACTTTAGAAGTATCCTCATCAGTTTTGTTCATCGCCCCCATTTTCTCTTTCCTCTGCTTCAGCGGCCATAAATTCATCGAAGTTCTGTGTCTTCACTAGTAATATCTCAATCTACATGAGGGAAAAACCGAAAACAACAAAAAAAGCGAGCTCTTAAACCAAAGATAAATCATAGTCGAAAGGAGGAACAATGGATAGAATTCCATGTGTGCAATGGACTAAGTGAATCCCTTACTATAAACAGTCTCGAAAACATGCAATTGAATCACATTTATCCAATGTTTGAAAACCAGGACCAGGAATTGATCCAGAAAAGGTAAAGTTCTCAAGGGGTTCAACCAAGACTATTAATATACATCCTCTCAAAAACTCGCAATTGAATCACATATGTAATATAACATTACAACTAAACCACATATTATCATGCACCCTAACAATAACATTACTCTTCAATAGTTACAGCAAAATCTTATTTAGACTGATTGAATATCACTCAATCTTTTAATGTGTGAGTGATATTATGTTTGTACCTACGATACCAATCAATATCACTTGATTGCGTGGGTAACATTATGATTGTGCCTAAGATACCAATCAATATCACTTAATTGAGTGTAATTTTCACGAGCATATACAAGAAGATATTACCCTATAGAATATAAGTACGATGCGTCTTCCTGAAATAATATTGTGAGACCAAAATCCTTCCAAAAATTGAAATCTCTGAAGTCTTAACTATGTAGGTCCACAGCAAACAACAAAGAGAAATTTATGGTGTTATTTCTGCATCCAAAGTCAACCCTTTTACTGGTATTTCAAACGTTTTCAGCCAAAGCTCGGTGATACCAAGATTTTTTAACACTCAGATGATGTCTGCTTTAAGAGATGTCACGCACACATTCAAAGACAAAATATTAAGTCATGATTGGGCAATGCTTTCAACAGAAATCTCTCGAATTGTGAAAAACCCAAATTTAGAAGTCACTCAAGAACGTCTAATTGGGCCAATTGCATATGTTGCTGAACTGCATTCATTTACAATCTGTCATATTTATTTTATTAGGTGAAGAATTTCGGTGTTACCTTCGCCTTGGAGATTGGCCGTGCTCCTGGTTCATCCCTCATGTCTACAGTCAACGTCCCGATTTCTGCATATGGAACAAATATATGAGTGCATATTTGGTATACAGTATTAGATCAAACAAGACATTTCATTAACAAATTTTCTTTTCTTTTTTTCTTTAATATTGTCCCTTAATATCATAGTCGACCTTAACAAACATTCAATCAAGGGAAATATTGGACTACAAAGGCTAGGAAAGGTCAGAATAAGGAGGAATAAAGGGAAAACTGGGAAGGCGAAGAAAACTCCTTAATGAAAGAATAAAAAAAAAAGGTAAATTGAGTCTTACTTTTTTCAACAGAAAATCTATTGTTCTTCAAAATTTCAGCAATGCTGACCACTGTGGAAATAGCTAAAAGCAAAATACAATGTAACTTGTTATACAATATAATCACATTAGGTTCCATTCATAAAAAAAGCGTACTTACCAAAATTCCTTTAACATTAAACAACTGAAATTCCAAAGTTGCAGATAAAAAGAAATACCCAAGCCAAGGCCACAGAGTTCCACTTCATTGTATTGCTGCATGTACCTCTACAAACATGATTGATTATCAACTCATTTGATGACTATACAAGTTTCCTCACTTATGTACAAACAAATCCCACATGTATATGACCATAAGATGTATATTATCCATTTCACTTGCATTTGCCTTAAAAAGGGAGTTAATATAGTACCGGATACTGATCACCCACTACAACTTTATTGGCAATACTTTTCACATTACGACAAATTATTCTCATTTTTATCTTGACAAGTCAAACAGAACTGTGAACTTATAATCAATTAGGGGTGTAAAATGGATCCACCTGAAACAATATATCTGTGTTGAAGGATGAGCACAAAGTAGGTTGTTCAAGCATTGTTATTTTTATTTTTAAGCATTAAAAGAATCAAAGCTTGTTTACCTTTCAAATCAATCTCAAATGAACACCATTTACATGAATCACCAAAAGGCCAAGTGGACATTCAAATAATTGAAAGAGTCTTCAACTCCTATGATGGGTTCAAGCACATTCACCTAATAACCTATCTTAAGCAAGCTAATGCTGATATTTGGCCATAAAAAAGTGAAGCTTTAGATATAAAAACTTGAGAAAATATATAAATAGGTAAGGGAAAAGTGATTTTATAACTCAAATCTTAAAAGCTTTTATAAACTTCAAATTTAGTATCAAAAGTTCTAAAAATATATAGTCTAAGAAAATGTTTTAAATCTGATTCTTAGCGGTAAACACATCGTGCAATTATGAATTATCCATCATGCTCAAACTCTTGAACCAATGGCCGACATCAAAGATTAATAATCACAAGAAACAAAAATATAATAAGCCGCTAGTTTTTAATAATTATTTCTCTCTTAACAAATTTCTTTTTTTTTTTTTAAAAAGGACAATTACTAGAGAGAACAAACTAACAAATTTTCAATCATGTTCAAACTTACAAGCATCATTTTATTAAATATAACAAAATCTCATTTTAACTTGTAGATCTTCCTTCTGTCCCCTTTAAACACATACATTGAATTTAATCAAAGAACAAGAAGAAGACCCTCGAAATTTCTTGTTAATTACAACATTTTGCTTCTCTTGAGAAAAGAAGTGTATAAAAATTCAGTCATTAGTTAAACCTCAACTACTAAACCTCTCTCAGAATAAATATATGGATATGATTTGAAGAAAATGCAAAATACATGTATATTACTACAAGTAGACAAGATGAAACTAAAAAAAAAAACACCATAAAATCATACATTTTCTAGATCTTTTTTGTAATTTACAGGATTGTTCCCAAGCAACTCAAAAGGGGGGAAAGTTGAGTATATAAATATTCCGTCTTTGGCTAAACCCTAAAATGCTAGCCCTTAGATGCTTGCAGATAATTAAAGAGGAAAATTAAAAAAATTAAAAACCATAGACCCAAAATTTTCTTGACCTTTTCCTGAGTTCCCGATATAATTCTTCAGAAACCAGTTGAAAAATATGAAAAAATGTATAAAATCTTAATATTCCACTAAACCTTAAAACACAGTAAACCTGTGTGACTGTGTCTGCGTCTCTAGATAATCAAGAACAGAAACGTAAAAAAGGATTCTTGAAATCACAGACGCATAGCTTTTCACAGTAATTTTCCTCAGCAACTCAATTTGACAAACATAAATAGTAAATAAAAATTCAGTCTTTAGCAAAACCCTCCACGGAAAAAATGCATAAATGCACATAAGAAAAATCTGCAAATCCATTTACAATTTATTAAAAAAAAATGTAGAAAAAAAAGAGAGGAGACCTTGGATGATTTTGTACCTGCTTGTCCCAGTCCAAAAAAAGAGAGGAGACCTTAGAATGGAGCTGGATTTCATCAAAATTACTGGTTAATCCCAGTCTTATTGTCCTTATTAGTAATTTACCATTGTCATGCTCGTACAAATACTATGTTTGGCTAACATTTATTAATTGTTTATAAATAATCAAAAAACTTTTTATTCATATATTTAATTAAATTCGCAAATATTACATAATTATACATAACTCATTTATATTTATTTATAATTTAAATAGATGGTAAACATAATTAAAAAGGGAAACAACGTACGTGTCACTGAGCTGTAAAATGGTTTAATTTGGGTTGCGATAGATCCCAACACAACCCACATTTAGAAGTATCGATTTTCGCTTAACCCGATGAAAGAGAGATGTTACTTACTACCATTGATGTTCATCACAAATTTATATTGGATCACTGTGACATTATCTAATGAAATTAGAATATATTTTTATTCATTGGATTGTGTGATCAATGATCCTACTGCAAAACTTTATTGATGACAAATGTCATTATTTAAAATAATAATAATAATAATTTGTTATGTATCTCAAGCGATAGTTGTCCAAGAAGACCATATATTTGTCAAGTCATGCATGTATAATGGGTTGTATTGTCAACAATTTTTACGTAAGAGTTTGCTCGTGGCCTAAAATAGAGCTTAATTCTAGTTTTATCGATGGTTGTCAGTGTTTTAAAAGATGTAATGCGTGGATGCCAAGCTATGGTGCATAGATGTAAAAAGACGTAAAAATATTTTTTCTTATTTTAATATTATTTTAACTTTTAATCAGTCAAAAAATTATTTAATAATTAAAAATAATATCTACCAAACATCTAAAACAGATTTATAAGAAATTTATACATTTTTTCAAAAGTTTTCAAAAAATAAAGATAAATTTCAAATGTAAATCAGTATTTAAGTTTTAACTTAAAATAATTGTAAAAAAAAAATAAATAAATAAAAATAAAAAAAAGATAATAAGCGTGTATTATCGGTCAACAATTACTATTGACCGCTAAACAAGGTGCCAACTGCCAAGCCACTTAGTTTGGCGTTTTCGCCTCACATCGCGCCTATGCGGTCTTTTAGAATACTGATGGTGGTATATAATTTTGAACAATGATGGGAGAGGGAGGTATTCTCATGTCTAGCTTGGTTTGGCACACTATAAACACCAACATTCGGAGCTTAGATATTGAGAAAAAAAATTCTTACAAAACACAGCTAATGCAACGACAATGAGCCAGAAATAAGGAAACACGAATTAATTATGGATCCACAGACCACAATCATCATTTTCCTCACTATCAATTTCTTTTTAAACAAAAGTAAAGTACTTAAACATACATCACAAGCATGTTCCTTTTTTTCTTAACCTTAGGATTTCTGACTTGGACCCTGGAATATGCTTTCTTTAGCCCATGTTTGGTTAAGTTGAAAATTTTATTAAAATTTAAATCAAAGTAAATAATTAATTTTAAACTCACATATTATGGGAACAATATTTAAACTTTTCAACTACATATTTTTCATTTTAAAATTTACTAAAAAAATAATTTTTAGCAAAACCAAACAGAGACATAATCTGTGGCAAACCACGTCGGTGTCTTCATCTGTTGTCCGCCACACAAAACCCTAATTATGCCCGTATAAGTTATTGAATGTGATATAGGAGGGGAGAATTGGAGATAAGCTTTAATCACTTCTGACTAGAGCCATAATAAACAGAACGAAAATCATAAAACAAGCAAAGCATAAAACAAAGATTTTCATTATGAAGAAGAATACAAGGTCTCTTCCCTCTCACTCATACAAAACCAACCTCTTAAAATTATTTTTATAGGAGGGATTGAGTTGATAGAGCTTGATTAGACTCTACATGTGAGGGATTGGAGCATAATTGGATTCCACTCAAACACCAAAACCGTTAAAAAGTACAATTCTTGAAATTTTAATAATTGATGGACAGCCATGAATTTTAGGTTAAAGAATATCTCACTCTTTCTTACTTCGCACCTTACATCAAAGATTAATCCCATGTAATAAGTACGTATTCCCTCTATATGGGAACAACCTGTTCTCAGCTCCAACACACCACAAATGGCCTTGCAGCACCAGATCTCCTTTCATCCCTGCTGTTTCCATCACAAACTTGAAGACCCCAAGAGCCTTATCCAGTTGCTTCACCCCAATCCAAATCGCCTTCTCCTCGTCTGACGTCAAAATCTTCCCCATATATAAGCAAAACTTATTCTCACCATCAAGTTTATGAACTCCCCCTCTAACGTCTACTTCAATGTCTTTCACACAGCCGTAAAGATAGTACAACAAAAGGGTAAACAAACATCGCGACGAATGACCTAATGCCTTTGTTAATTTCTTCTGCACTAAATTTTCTTGATACCGGACATCCCGATACCCAATATTCTTATCCATCAAGACATCCCTAATCTGATATAGCCCTTCTTTCATGACCTCAAGCTTCTCAACGTGCAAAATTAATCTCTTTTCTTCGCTTAAGCAGTTAATAAGATCAACTAACATCTCAAGAACATCTTCCCATTTGTGAGAAGGAGATGAGTCCTCACCTTTTGTAGGCATGAGGCGCATCCATGAAGCTGACTCAGAGTCAGGTAATATAGCAGAATCTAATAACTTCATACAACTCACAACTATTTGTTGTGCCAAGTTAATCTCTTTACTTGTGCAGCAATGAATCAGAAAATCAATCTCAGATTTCAATCCTTTCAGTACCTCCTCAAGTGCACCAGTCCATATCTGGTGCTGTGTCACTTGTGGGCAAATTGTATGCCTCACGATCTTCCTTTGCTGCGCGGAAATGCTCAAAATGTCAGCCACTTTAGTCAATGAACTCAAAGTAATCGGATCCCTTTCGCTCGGCTTAGTAAAGCACTGAAATTCTCTGCGTCGTGGATCATCAGCAAATGAGGCCATCAAGTTCTTCCTCATTGTTTCTTGAACTGAAAAACACCCAATAAACGCTCTAACAAGGGACTTGAATGTTTGCATTTCGTGCTCCAGCTTATCGTCGAAAATTCTTGAATGTTCATTGAGATTAATTAATCTTCCATCAATCAAATCCACATGTTTCAACAATTGACTCAATTTTGTTAGCTTTAAGAAAGCCTTCTCATACCATTCAGAAGACAAAGCCGCTTCTTCTTCTTCATGGGGTCTTTCTTCTGAATGATAATACACCCGTCTCAAATTCATCCCCCGGTTTTGCCTAATTCTAAAATGCTTTGCTCCTAGCAGAAAATTTTGCACACATTTGCCAGCCATTTTAAGCTTGCTTCTCACATACTTGCGAACGCGCCTGCAACATCAAATCCTGTAAATACAGGACAATACAATAGAGGAGTTTTTAACTTCACGTTCTTCAATAATACTGTCTATAACTGTATAATTTACGTTACCAAACAAACAATAAAAAGGGTTATTTCTGATGATTAACAGTGGCATTTTATCAAACACATTACAGTGTTGCACTAAGTAAAAAATGAGGCATCGGAAGCTTTGGAAGTGCATAATCATGGCTTTTGAACCCCAGATGGAAAAATAAAAATAAAATCTGTCCATCTAATCCTTCTTGTTGTTTGAAATACCTTTAAAACTTGAAACTTGAATAAGAAGAACCTATAGTGGCTGAGAATCTGCTTTGATAAATTCCATTGGTAACATACCTGTTAGCACCAGGGTAAATACAAAAGACCGGTCACCGATATGAGACGATCCGAGCAAATATTGAGCCGACATTGTGCTTGATTCCAAAATCCCCGGCTCAGGATGTTCTCAGCTTTGAGAAATGTATGTACTAGATTGTAAATTGGCACAGAATATGCTATGATTTTCTTGTTGCTCCTATAAATTTTTATGTTATTAAATATTTTTAAGATTCATAGTTCAAATTAAATTTGCGATTAAGATAAATGATCTGGTATTTGAAAATATGCAAGAGTGCAGGGTGAACGCAATTCGATCCGGACGGTTTGTGTCATATTTTCAACTCAAACAATTTCATGTGGTTTGGAATTTTTTCAAACCAAATCAAACCATTTTATTTTTCAAATCAAACCATAATTTGCGGTTTACCTATCGATATTATAATAATATATTTAAAATAACTTAATATATAAGTTTAAACGAGAACTAATAATGTTAAATATTAAATTACATTCATCTTTCTCACGAACCCATGAATAAATTATATTTAAAGCAGTAAGTACAAGGAATTTCAACCCAAAAAAAAAACACGCAGCACCCTGTTGGCCTTTTTTTTTTCCCTTCCAATGGAAATCCGTCAAGTGTTTTTCCTGCCAATTCCCTGTACTTACAATATTGTTCATAATTTATTTTCAAAGTCAGTTGCTAAAAGATGTTAATAGAACGAATATATTTTTCTTTCTTTTTATATACCTTTTCTTGTTTGCCTTCTTTCATATTGTCATATAGCGGTTGGTAAAGATAGAGTCATATTCTGCTGTAATAGTTTGGTTAAAACTCATTTCGTCCTACTAGTGAGATGAAAAAATAAGAACTTAACATGATGTGTTTAAATATACAAAGAATGATATAGTTCAGGTTTATTGAAAATTGACAAATTTTATTCTCTAACGATTTTAAGAAAGTAGAATGTAGCAGTGCTAGTTGGACTTTTGGACATATTTCATTTACCTTGCTTTGAACTTTAACATTTTCAGGCAATTAATACTCTCTATCTTTTGTTCTTTCTAAACCACAAACAAATTCATTAATCATCTAAGCACACAAACAATTATTATTTTTATCCAAATCACAACTCACAAGTGTATAATAAGTTCAAAAACAACAAATAAAAGAAAGAACAATGAAAAAATAACTTGAATGAGAATTTAAGACTTTTCAAAATCGAAGATAGAAAGTGGTTATTCAGGAAGATATTAGCAGTCTAACAAGTAAAAGACGACTAGCGATTGCGAATCGTATTTTATTCAGCAGTGGTATGCAAGTATCAAATGTTTGAGAAATGAGAGTTTATGTTATGGTTTCTGAAGTTGAGGGCGTAATTTGCTGTCGTAGTTTTGTTGAATTATGATTTGGATTATTGAAAATAAATGTTTTTTTATATGATTTGAGATGAATTTTAGTTTAGATTAGATAACGGGTAAGGAAGTGTGTCGTAGACTTATAAAATCATCGATCAACAATGATGAACTTAATTTACTTTATATGATTATTTCAACGGATTGGTTGTAATTTATATTGATAAATTGGTATTTTTTTCTAAAAAGTCAAAGCTTTAAAACTTATAAGTTAATAAAATTATTTTTTTAATTAAAAAATGGTTGGTTCGGTTTTATGCGATTTTTGAAAATTGAAAACTAAACCAAACCATTTTGAAACAGTTTGGTTTGATTTGAGGGAAAATAAATCACAGGTCCACGTGAATCCGAACCAACGGTTTCGGTTCGACTTGCAGTTTCATGATTTTTTTGTGCAGCCCTACAAGAGCGTAATGTTCGGTATTGTTAGAGAAATATATGTGGACTTTCTCGCCATATTGGACATTGACTTTGAGAATCAAAACTGATAGGGGTGGGCGCGGGTCGGGTAGGTTCGGTTCGGTTTTGTTTTTTTCGGTTCCAGAAATTTTCGATTCTTTAGTAAATGGAACCGTCGGTTCCAAATATAATTTTGGAACCGTTCGGGTTCGGTTCCGTTCGGTTTCGTACTATAATTAAATTTTTTAATATTTAAAATAATACTACATAAATACACCTGAAAGTAATACTAATATTAGCCCTTGTTTGGAGGGCATTTTTTTTCCCATTTCTAGAAATTTTCTTACCGTTAGACATGGGGCCAGCCGAAATATTTGACCAACTTGTGAGAGGGAGGGGCCCACTAATTTGAAAAAAATGGTCCAATTCTTCATTTTTTCTTTACAAGAATACTGGCCAAACAGGGGCTTAATAATAAGAAGTAGATACAAATACGAAGTTCGATCTTAGCAACTAAACCCTAAACCCAACCATGAATGGCTAAAATATCAACTAAAGCNAAATAAATTGATTTATCAAATAAAATTCGGTTCTAACCGAGAACCGAACCAAAATTTTTCGGTTCTTCGGTTCTTGGTTCTTCGGGTTTTTAAGTTAAGAAAACCCCGCTCGGTTCGGTTCGGTTCCGGTTCGATTCAATTCGGTTCGGACATTTTGCCCAACCCTAAAAACTGATAGAAATTTAAACTGAGATGAATTTTGGGATTTTAAAATACTGAAATTTATGAAACTTGTAAAATGAGTAGTTAACTTTTGAAAAATTACAAAGTACAAAACCTCAAAGCCTTGAATGTATATACTCCAGATGCTTGGTGAAATTTGAGCGATCAAGTAAATGAATTCATGCAAAAAAATATAAAAATTACAATATAACGGCTGATATGCAAAAGCATTGAGAGCTAGAAATGATGTATTTCTATGATCGGCCAACAAGACATTAGGGTGTGTTTGATCCACATTATTTTGGAAGAATGTATTCTGGAATAGTAGATTGATGGGGAATTTGTGGTTGAAAAAGAAGGAAAGTTATTGATGTGATGAAAAATATTATTTTATTGAAAAATGTGTGGTTGTTGGAGAATTTGTGGTTGAAAAAGAAGGAAAGTTATTGATGTGATGAAAAATATTATTTTATTGAAAAATGTGTGGTTGAAAATGAGTAGAAGAATGATAATGAAAATTTTAATGTGTACCAAACAGGGGCTTAATAATACAAGATTTCTGCATTCTTTTTCCCATTTACAGATACAACATTTTTCTCTTTTTACTTTTGTAGTTGAATTTATAGGCGCCCGGGTTGTGGCTCAGTGTAGTCGAGGCCTTCCTCCTCTAGTAGGTAGTGCTGAACAGCAGCAGGAAGCCTAAAGGGAATATGTGAACCTCTCGTGTGGTGACCACATATGTAAAGCAGCAATCGCTGGTCTGTTGACCTGGCATCATTCTTCATTACGGCAAGCTCATGCTTGAGGACTTGAATAGCTTCGATTAAATGTAGCCATTGCAGGTCGATCACCTTCTCTCTCCCGTTGGCCTGCATTCCGCTCGTGTGGTGACCACATATGTAAAGCAGCAATCGCTGGTCTGTTGACCTGGCATCATTCTTCATTACGGCAAGCTCATGCTTGAGGACTTGAATAGCTTCGCTTAGATGTAGCCATTGCAGGTCAATCACCTTCTCTCTCCCGTTGGCCTGCATCTCCAGATTCCTGCACAATATTTCATCATGCAAATCCGACATGACCTTCGCACCCACAATTTACCAAGATGTCACCAAGGCATGGGAGAAGCAGAATAGTGAGTCAAGGAGGAGTTCATACTGAATTAGCACCATCGGTCTCCAACCCAATGTTACATAAGCAAGTAGGTTATAATCTTTAAAAGGATCAAACTGGTTCCCAATGTTTCATTATAGTTGCACAATCAGTTCCTAACAATGAAAATTTTCCAAATCTCTGTTAAATCTGCACGTGACCCTCACATATTCATAAAATACTTTGATCTAAAACGAATCCAAGTTGGAATTGTGCCCGGAGGCATGTTTCTATAGAGGCCACATTACAATTTAATGAAGTTTTGGACGATTTCCATCGTTGGAGACAAATTGTCCAACTATAAGGAAAGGTCAAGAATAAACTTAAATTTTTAAAAAGGTTGCCGACCAACTTGCTACTGCAGCAATAGGTTGTGAACCCATGGTGCAATCTTTCCTAATAATACACGAGGATTATTATTCTAGATAGGTGTGTTATCCATTTTTCCATCCTCGGGGTGAAGTAATCTAGGATGGCCCATAAACTTTGGAAAAAAGAGGGTGTCCATGTTGAGTCCAGATCTGAAGAATAAATAGTTTAAAGTGCAGGCATGGCTCGACAAACCTCTGACGATAAATAGATTCCTGAGCCTTCCTCCCATGAGCTGCTTTCATCTGCATATTGTGCAACTGCCCTTTGACAATCAACTCTTTCGCTAAAGCCTTGTTGCCAATTAAGTATCCCTGGCGGGCCTAATCTTACACAAAATTTCAGAAGTCATAGATCAAACACTAGGTAAGCATGCAGCAATTTGCACTTAGACATGCATATATCAACAATACTCTGCCAACTAATTTGCCCAACAAAGAGCATGTTCACGTAAAATATCGCCCGTGACATCAAAGATCATGTCTTCACCCTGAACTGCATTGGCTTAATCTTAGACTTAGTTAAAGAATTATAAGAGCCTATAGTTAATTTATACATGGTAGCATATTTAAGCCAATGGGAGAGATGGACTGAAAGCCACACAAGGAAAGACCCATCTAAATTTGAATTTTTTTGCATCCAGGTGTAAGCGAGTGTGCATGTTCATGCATGTACAGAAACACACACATAGTCAGAGGGTGCGAGCTTGAATAGACTTGTTGATTCTATCCTCACTCCAAATAAAATGTGACTTGTGGAGTGAATGCAGCATTAGCCAGTGCAGATACCACGAGAGTCATTTAAGACCATTCAATGGTTCTTTCAGCAGCTTGTGTTTTTATATAATCAATAATCTTGTATTTATATGTTATTGATGTATTCAATGGCCAATGACCCCCTCCCCACCCCAATAGCCTTTTCTCACTGTAATAAAAAGGAAAATTAACTTCAAGGATTTTAAATGAACAATGAGAAATTTTTTTTTCTGCAAGCTCTCAGCTTACATTGGCTACCTGTCTTCAGTAGCGATCTTTATTCTTTTGATTAGAGTCGGGGTCGTGAGAGTATATTGTACTGCCCTGTCATTGTACGAGTTTCTCAATTTTTTAGTCTTCTGGTTTTTCCCTTTACTACATCCTCTCATTAAACATACCTGTTCAAAATATGCATTACATAGGCGTGCATGATCACGAGCCTCTTCCCTCATTTCTGAGTACATATTTGCTGCGATCTCAATAAGTAAAAGACATATACATGAGGAAAGCATTTAAACCACAAATAAGTTTTTTTAAAAGAGCAATTTGATTTATTGCCTCAAAGGTTTTACCAACTGCTTCTCCAGTTTCAAGCCAGATAGGAGCTGCATGAGCTGTCCCCGACTTTGCACTCTATCACCATAGGTGCCCCTGCCCTGGCTACTCGTGTAAGAAGTAGCCAGGACTAGTGAACTTCTACTCGATCTAATGCTGGTGTTGGAAGAACCATTTCTATAATACTTCCAGATGTTAGGAGATGCCAATGTTTTGACAGCTGATGCAAAGTCTATAGCACCTCTAGAGGATATGGAAGAACTAGAATTAAACGAGGGTGTGCTTTCGTTTTCTGGAAGTGCAGGAAAATCCAAAGCACTAAGATTTGGAGCAGTAGACAAGGCCTTTGAATTCAGATTTTCATTCAAGCCCCATCAACCTGTTGCTGCAATCACAAGTAATTGCAAGTTAAAGTAAAATAAACATCAAACAAACATTCGTTGTTCAGAAATAATCTACTTTATAATGAAGCTATCCTACAAATGCCTCATTTTATTACAAGAAGTCAAGCAACTAAAGCGCATCCTTCATAAATTAAATGCGTCAAAAAGTAGGACAGCTAAAATAGTTGGGAGTCAAATTCCCCGTGATATTTTTTCTGAGCTGCAATATTGCCAACAATATTATATGCTAAGGTTTCGAAGGTTGAATTCAAATCCAAAGTATTGACAAACGAGAAAAAATATATGATGCGAATGGTCGCAAGAATATGGCTTCTCAAGAATTGATTGTAAACACTGATCAAACAAAGGAATCTCTGGGATTCACATAACCACTCGTGAGGTTGAATATATGAAAGACATAAATATGCAATACAGTTCAGTTATTAACACAATTTCACACTCGATTAATCTTTTTCCTCAAAATAAACAACTCTGCACTGGATATTACTAAATTACTTTTAAGGATGACATTTTGTCACTATCCGATAAGAAGTGAAACTGATAAAACAATATTCTGCAATTCAGGAAACACATGGGAGAAAGAGGCTTATTTTAGTTCTGCAGAACATATTACTTATGGTAGTTGAAACCTTGACTCAAAATTTTAAGGGCCTGCTTGCAAGTTTTTTTTTCCAATTGTTTTAATTGTTTTTGGGTGGCACTATTCATAAGAGGTTAGGAAAACCAGTGCTTGTTAGTTTTTTGGGGTACTGGTTGTGTAGTGTAATTTAGGTTCTATTTCTCAACCTGTCATTGGTTTACCTTCTCTAAAACAATTATTTCCAACTCTAGCCTAAAAAAGAATGAAGCTGGGACAAAAAGAAAAGAAATTTCCTCTTCAATAAATCCTTCTCCCCAAAAGCTTCACTCCAAATGCTTCAGAATGCTATGCGTCTTTCAAAAACTTCTCTTTAAATCTTCCATTAGGTACTCTCTCTCTCTCTTCCTTTATACTATTTTTCTTGATTATCATTAGTTCCTTAATAGCTTTTTACGATTGTTATAGATGTACCTGCTCATGAGAATTAGTTTCACACTTTATTCGTCTTTCTTCATCTTATAATCCAATAGAAAATGACTGGCATGCAAGAGCTTATTCAACGCAATAATAAGTAGTCCAAAGGTTCGTCAATGCGCAATAGAAAATGATTGGATAAATTATGTAAAATCATATTGAATTTTAAGAAGTGACATACAAATTTCCTCCATCTTGTTTACACTACCTACTTTTTTTTTTATATGGACGCTGGATGATAAATTCCCAAGCATGGGTTAGACTTTTTAAAAATTCGCTACTAAAATCCAC